ACTGAAGGAAAGAAAACCAGATGGTTTTCGCAGACAATTAATTCGAGAAAATATGCAGTTTGGAGAGGATGAGCCTCCAATAATACGGAGTGGGGCCGTGTATCGACAAACGAAGATGGAAGCTTTAAAAAAAACGTATGGAATCGAGAAAGATGACAGACGTGATCAGGCTACTATTGTCAGAGATATGTCTGGTGACACCAAGTACTCTCAGATCATCATTGACGTGGGAGCTAATCCATTCCATGTGATATTTTGTTCGCCAGAGCAAGTGTTAGTCTATAAAGAATATTGTCGAGTTGTCTCACTGCCTCGAACAGCCACTGATGCCAGTGGAAAATTTGTTAGGAAGTTGGAAAAATGCCCAGGTGCCATGACAGGACATCTCTTCTTCTATACTGTGACAATCAATTTCGAAAATAAAACCATTCCAGTATATCAAATGCTCACAGAAAGGCAAGATGCTGATTGGATCATCTATTGGCTACGAACTTGGCTCAGAAAGTTTAAGGTGAGGCCACCAAAGGAGTCAACAAGTGACGAAGAGAGAGCTCTAGTCTTAGGACAATGTCAGGCATTTAATGGCATGACAATAAAGAAGTACGTCGATGAAGTCTTTCTGTGGGCTAAAGTTGAAACTAGGAGGAGAACTCTGCCATTTCCAGCTACTACAGTGATAAGATTGGATGTAGCCCATTTTGTGGCTGCTGCTGCCAAATGGAGTTGCCTCAACGATTCCTACAAATTTCGTACTAAAAGATTTTATGTTCGCGTGATAACACTAATGATTGACTGTCAGTCTGTGGATGAGTTTCGTCACATTTTTCTCTTGACATGTATCGTAGCCCTGATACCTGTCAATGATTATATCGTAAGGACTCCGGAGTTCGAGATGACAGCTCAAGAGGCTCGCAAACAATTAGAAGATCACATTGCAATACGTGGGCCCATTATTGATAAATTGGAGAGCTTCATCGGGAATAACGAATCGGAGATTCCTTATAACTTTGACCCACTGCCTGAAGAATCGTGCTCAGGACGAAAATCGACAGTGACACACCAATGGATCAAAGATCTGATATCGTCAGTGAAACCAGAAAATCCAGAGAAAATTCCCGGTGACTTGGAAAATCCTTTCTATCTACCTCCATTTATCGATGATTTGGAACGGGTTGGGAAAGAATTTCCACTTTGGACCGGTGCAGCTATACCAAATGGTGAGAAACATGCTTCATCAGCATATCAGGAGGGCTACTTCAATGCTGTCAGGAACGGAGTCTTCCAGAATATGACATTGCCATGTGTTTGTCATGTATTCTTGAAGAAGCTTTTGGACGATATCCTCAGTGGTAATATCTATATGTCTAAAGAATTGAAGAAATTCGTGCATAAC